ATAAAAATTGTATAAAAAAAGAGAACTTGTTAATAATTAATTTTATATTTATATTTTTAAAAAAATTTATGATATCTTCAAACTTATTTTTATTCAAAAGTAAAAACAATATATTTCTCAAAACCACATAACCGTATTATATTAACAGAAACAAAAAATAAAACACAATACTAAAATGAAGAGTATCTCGCTGCATTGCACGAGTACTTTTCTAGTATTATAATATATAATAATCAATTTGAAATTCTTTTAATCAACATTCTTTTAATTGTTTTATCATTTTGTTTGTATTAGTTAATATATTATATTATTAGATATATGTTTCAATTATATCATTAAAATATTATAATTGATTAATTTTTAACATGTCCTTTCTGGTAATTATACATTATTGCCAGTTAGTTTTGTCAAAGATGATTTGTTCATTGACTACCAACTAACTTATCAACCATCAGTTAATTTGTCAAACATAACCATAATTTTTTTCCAGGTTTTATTGATTTTGGTAGAATCGTTTCTCAAATGAGAGATCAAATGTGTCATTTGCAAACATGATTTGTATTTACATATACAAGAACAAATACGTGAAACGATATCAATCATAACTTAAAATCAAACTAATTGTATGTTTTAGATTGGTTTGTATAAATTTGTAATAAAAAATAAGTTTGTATCTGAAATGTGCTCTATATACATTATACATATAATAGTAATATAATATTATATGTTATATATATATATAATATTTTATATCATATATTATATATGTTACAATATCTTATATTATACATATATACGTATAATATGTATTCTATATTATTTAATTTATATATAAAATATATAATATTCTAGTCATAGTTTCATTTAAGAAGCGATAAAAATTTGAAAAGTGATTCTAACCCTTCATATGGTCAAGATTTGCAACATTGACAATGAAGTATCGAATAATTGTCAAAGACCTTCCAGCCTAGTGGTAAAGGCTTGAGCATGGTATAGTCATGAACCCAAGTTCGAGCCCTGGAAGGGAAGTGTTGGCGACATTTAAGTGGGGCCATGTTTAGCCTCCAAAAATTGTCGGGGATTAGTTGGGCTTTGGCCCGGACGCCCTTACAAAAAAAATATTTATATCGAATAATTACTCGCATGGTATGTGAAAGATAGAAGAATAATTTTACAAATAAGCGGCAAAACAATTGCACATGTGACCTCATGTTTCACATATGAACTATATGTTCGTATCTGAACCCATGTAATTCATATATGAACTATTTAATTGATTTACATATAAACTAATTAACTGATTTACATATGAACTATAAGTTCATATATGCACCTGTTTACCACATATTTGTAAAAGTTACAAAACTATCTCTCTATTTTTCATTTGACCAGTCAAAACCGCAATTCTTGACCAATCTTAACCTATGAAAGGTTAAGATCACTTATTAGCTTCTTAAATACTTACCAGTTCTTAAATTAACTTTTCCCTAATAATATATATTTATATATGTATAATTTATATATCATACATATATAGTTTATATAATATATATATATATATATATATATCACCTTTTTAAGAAAATATGATGGAATATAATTCAATTCTTTCTACATCGTGATGAAACATTTAAAGCCATGAATAGTTAAACATGCATAATTCAAATCCGTTTTATATGGAAACTAAACGTTAAAATAGAATTTAATTAATGAAATTGACATATATTTATTCACTAAAATATTGTCGGGAACAAACCTCCCCTAAATATAACAATAAAGTAAACACGTCTCTTCCGGTTATATTTAGTAATCACGTTTAAAACACCGACTAACATGATCAACCTCGTTGATCCATAAAAAAAAAAAAAACTCAAGACTTAGCTAAATTGTAAAAATATATATATTAAAGTTTCAACCCGATTAACCCAATCCAACCCACATGGTTTGGGTCGGGTTGTAATTTTGTTTGGATTAAGTTGAGATTTTTCAAACCATAAACATTGAAATGAATTATTTAAATATCTTTAACCCGAACAACCTAATTCACGTGAGGTTCTAATTCTTATGACTTCGATCTAACTTTATTTAAATCTATAACAATTTTTAATAAAATAAAATATAAAAAGTTATCTTTTAGAAAAGGTAAAGTGAGGTGACAAGTTATTTTATTTCAATATTTTTTTAATAATAATATGAAAAGAAAACAAGCGTAGATAGAATGAAGAAAAAGAATGTGTGTACTTGAAAACGATGGTAAACATCACCACCAACAACCGATGAAAACGATCAATCTCTTGTTTTATTATAAACCCATCAGTCTTTTTATTTTTATTTTATTTATATTATCTGTTTATTTTTAATCAATGAAATTTAATTTGAGATTAGAATATATTTTAAGTATTTCAACAAATAAATATTGTATTAAATAAGTTAAATCGTAAATATAA